AGGCGTGCACCTCTTGCACATGAGGCGTACACCTCAGAGGTGTCAGCGCCTCTGGAATACGCCTCAAGGCGTTTTGGGAGCACCTGGCCTGGAGGCACGCTTCCAGACATACACCTCCCACGCCTTTTAAAACACTGGACCATGCCTTGGAAATTGAGAAAATGTGGTATGAAGAAACGCCAAATTCAATGTTTTATCAGAAAACAACCCATTGCTGCCAGCGGTGTAATGATGTGGCATTATCTTGGTTGGATAATACAGACCAATGCTGAAAACGGTTCTACAGCACTGGTACCAAACAAAACCAATGCAGTTTTCTCAGAAAACAGCCTATGTGGCAGTACCATTTCCAAACAAAGAGAAAATGGTGCTTACAACTCAAACATAAGCCACTCCCTTCTCCGGATATGATATTCTGACGAGTAGAAACCACTATCTGCTGATTCGGTCAAGCTTCTTGTGAAAGGAAGAGGGGAAAGTTGTAGATTTCAGCAATACGAAGAGAAAGAGGAAGAAAAGGAGAAGAATGTCAACTAGGATTGTGTATCAAAACCCTAGCTGCCAGCCCCTCATTCTATTTATATTTAACTTAAATATGAGATATTACAAAGATGCCCTTAGTAGGGGGGCAACTCAAACTAAATAGTTACAACTCTTTTAAAAATAAGAACTAATGGGCCCAAGGCCCAACAACTTCTTAATTTAAAAAAAAAATAAACTAAACACAAATCGGCCCATTCAACACTCCCCCTCAAGTTGGGAGTAGATGTCACACATTCCCACTTGCGTAGATCATGCTCCAGCTTATTCTTTGCAATGCCTTTTGTGAGAACATCAGCAAGTTGCAGATCAGAAGAAATGTATGGAAGACAAACTTCTCTGATAAAATGTCTATCTACTTCAATGTGCTTAGTTCGGTCATGTTGGACTGGATTATGGGCAATATTAATTGTTGCCTGGTTATCGCAGTATAGCATCATAGGTTCTTCTGCCTGTACACCGATTTCTTCTAACAGAGAACGAATCAAGAGAAGTTCTGAAACTCCATGTGCCATAGCCCTATATTCGGCTTCTGCACTTGATCTTGCCACAACTATTTGTTTTTTACTCTTCCATGAGACTAGGTTACCCCCAACTAGGGTGCACACTCCTGAAGTTGATCTTCTGTCATCAAGGCATCCTACCCAATCCACATCTGTATAAGCCTCTAACTTCAACTGTCCATAATCAGTAAACAATATGCCTCTGCCTGGATGTCCCTTCAAATAARCAAGGATCCTGTCAACTGCCTTCCAATGCTGGTCTTGTGGAGCATGTGTGTATTGACTCACTACACTTACGGCATAGGAGATGTTCGGTCTTGTCATACACAAGTATAGTAGCCGACCCACAAGTCTTTGGTATCTCCCAAGGTCCTTTACTGGTTCACCTTCTGATGCACTGATTCTATGGTTCTGATCAATGGAGGTGCTAGCTGCCTTTGTTCCAAGCTTCCCTGTCTCTTGGAGAAGGTCCAAGACATACTTTCTTTAAGAGATAAAAATTCCATGTTTCAATATTGCAACTTCGATGCCTAAGAAGTATTTCAATTCTCCAAGATCCTTAATCTCAAATTCCTTATGCAGGTTCCTCTTCAGACTATCAATCTCACTCAGATCATTCCCAATGACAACAATATCATCCACATAAACAATCAGGATTGACACCAAAGATCCCCTGCGCTTCACAAACAAGGTGTGATCAGATTGAGTTTGAGT